CCATTACACATAAAGTCTTTGGATTCAAGTTCATTATATTTCCGTTTGTGGACCATTACACATAAACTCTTCGGATTCATGTTATATTGTTTCCGTTTGTGGACCAATACATATATAGTCGTCGGATTCACGTTTATTATATTTCCATTTGTGGACCTGCATTACACATAAAGTCTTCAGATACACTTTTATTGTTTCCGTTTGTGGACCATTACACATAAAGTCTTCAGATACATGTTTATTGTTTGAATTTCTGGACCATTACATATATAATCTTTGGATTTAAGTTTGTTATATTTCCGTTTGTGGACCATTACACATAAAGTCTTCAGATTCCAGTTTATTATATTTCCATTTGTGGACCATAACAGTCTTTGGATTCACGTTTATTGTTTCCTTTTGTGGACCATTACACATAAAGTCTTCGGATTCACATTTATTGTGTTGTTGATGTTAGACATATAGACATTCTGATAGTGCACTGAGGTTTATTATATTGTCGTTGCTGGACCTTAATCATCCTGACAGGGAACTCGAGTTTATAAGTAATGTTTTTTCGCTGGAATATGTGACATAAATAACTCCTTGATAAAAATATATAATTGTGGAAATCTGTGCTTGGAAAACAAAAATTATAAAATTCCCATTAATTACTTTGCGTTGCAATCTTTATATTGTTAATATACTGTGACGATATAAGGTAATTGTGAGATTTGTTTATAAACAAACTAAAAACTATATTTATTGATAATATTGTGATATATTGACAACCTAGAAAACAATGTAGGTATTTATTGATAGTATTGAAGATGGAGAACTGATTTGAATTATTGCCTAAAGCCATTCCAAAAAAAAGGTGGTGATTTGGATGAATAATATAGATATTTTTATTGCTAAAACATCGAGAAGTACCTACTTGGGTTGTCCGAGGTATCCAACAGTGAATTTAATTACGTATCAAGAGATGAAATTGTCACTTTTACAGCAACTCGTGTCCGCGTTTTAATTATGTTTCTAACACTTGTAAATGTGAAGTGTTAGGTTTGTGTGTGATGACATCATTGTGTCGTAGAGGAGATTCACCTGTAGTGTTGATGGTCAGTATAAAATTCTTTTATATATTTTTTTAAGTGTATTCCCATCCAGGGACTGGATGCAGTCATTGTTTTTTTAAGGCGAGCGATTGCTCTTGAGCACCTTCCGCTCACCTGAATGTCGACCTAGGGGAGTTTTTTTTCCCTCCCCTTAAAACTGAAAATCGCTCTCCTTTACATAGTCATTGGGGGTTTATTATCATTTATGAAACCAGGAATGACCCCATTACATGCAGTTATTGATCTTAGAACCATTTGCCATGCATATAACTAATCACTCTCCTTAATATCTGATCACTCTCCATAATTTCTAAATCACTCTTCTTATCAAAACTGGGAGAGTTTTTTGAGGGGAGAGATTTTTTCAATTCGTTGATTGTGGGGAGCGATTTTTTTCAATTCGTTGATTGAGGGGAGCTTTTTTTGGTTCTCCTCTGAAATACAAACAACAATGACTGTGGATGTGATGAATTTTAAATCTACTTGATACAGTGCTTGGATTATTTTGAGAGTGATATTGGCTGGGATGGGATGAAATTTGATGTGACTTCAACACTTTACTTTTTGATCATTTTGAGACACAGTATAGATGTCATTGTTTATTTTAGATACGGGGTTGGATGGCCGAATGGTTAGCACGTGCACGCTGTATCATAAGGTCTGTCATTGAGTCAACAGGTGGGTTTCAATTCCCTGGTTGTACGTGACGAGTAGAATCGCCTGTCCAACCTCGTGGTTTTTCCCCCCCGGGTCCTCTGGTTTCCTCCCACTGCTAAAGACCCCTACGCATAAGCGATTTTTGAAATAAAATTGATCCATGTGTTAGTCACGAAATGACCTAGTTTGTGTCAGGTGGACTTAAATCCCATTTCTCTCTCTCTCTCTAGTGTGGATGGATGGCTCATTTTCCTGTCGATCGCTCAGCAATTATATTTTTTCATTTGCTCCTGAGTGGGAATAAGGTATGAAAAATCAGGAAGCGTCTACTTGGTCAGTGCCATGTATTGAACCAAGGACTGGCTTGACTACCGAGGTTGGTGGTTGGGTGGCTGAATGGTTAAAGTGTGCACATGGGATCATAAGGTCTTGTCATTGTACATGGCAAGGATTAGGATCGCCAGTTCAACCTCGTGGGTTTTCTCCAGGTCTTTCGCTTTCCTCCCACATTTAAAGACCCTCCGTGTAAGTGAATTAATGAAATAAAATTAAACCATGTGTTAGTCCTGAAATGACCTAGTTCTGTGTCAAGTGAACGTTAAACTCCATTTCTCTCTCCTTGACAACTGAGGACCCCACTGCATTAATTAATGTGCATGATAATTACTTTTAAATTCATGTTGCACTGTATTCTACTCAATTCGGGAAGATCGCATGGCTAAAAATATTCTTGCTTTTTGATGTAATTAATAAACATGTCTAAAATAGAAAATATAATTATAGCCAATTTAATGTTTAAAACAAAGTTTATGGCAGTGCTCAGTAGTTCTCATCAGATTCAGAGTCTGGGGTCACATTCCATACCTTAGATTTTAAATTCCTGTCCTGGAAGCCAACTGCTTTCTCTTTGAGGAGCACTGCTTGAATTCATTCATTATAAATGGAAAAGAAATTACACTTGTATCATACATCTGTGAGAAAGCTTATCTAAAATATACATGTAAAGTTAAATTTAAATATTTCTTAAATCAGTCTGGATTTTGATAAACTTCACAGATTATTTTCAACCCCGTTAAATTTCGTACATGTGTAGCAGATGTTTTCCATGGGTATGTTGACAGTTTCTAATGAGTAAACAGGGATGTTGCTAAGAATATATATATATATACCTCCGGTTATTTTGGCATAGGTACTATCTAGATAAGATTTCTGAGTAAAAGATGTTCTTATTAACATTTAAAGGATTGGTTGTTTTACTGTTTAATAAAGATGCATTATATTAGATTAAAATAAAGGGCTGACAATTCTCACTACATAGTTAAAAAATAGATACTGAGAAGCGAATATATTGAAAATTAACTTTATTCTGAGCTGATTTATGGCCATGATTGTCATTGATACCGTTGTTACGATAATAAACAAAGTCTTATTATCATTTTTTAAATTAAATTATTAACTAGCAATCTTGTTTGATCTGCTTACATAATACATCTTTAAGTTTTAATAAAAAAACCAAAAACTGAAGAATGTATCCACTGTTATGTATTTTGTAATATCTGATACTAGCAGGATACCTGGCTTTGCCTGGGGCCCAAATTCGCCTAGAACCCAATTTCGATGGCCTTAAACATTCACGGAGTCATATACTGGTTAATTTGACACACATAGTATGTGGGATTGAAGCCGCGCAATGAAGTGTGATTCGCCTGGAGCCAAAATTCAATGGCCTAAATAATTTACGGGGTCATGCTGATTAATTTGATACCACGTATGTCGGGGTGGATCGCCATGACGAACCATGATGGGCGAAAACACACAGAGACATCTTTGATTTTATTAATATAGATTAATAATTTTTTTTAGAATTTAAATTTTTGACATTCAGTGATTATCTCGATTGTACTTCAATTAATTTCTTTTTGACATCTGATCGAATCCCCAGTTGTACGTAACAAGGAGTAGGGTCACCTGTCCAACCTCGTGGGTTTTCCCCGGGTCCTCCGATTTCCTCCCACTGCTAAAGACGCCTACGTGCAAGCGAATTATTGAAATAAAATTGAACTATATGTTAGTCTCAAAATGACCTAGTTTGTGTCGAGTGGATGTTAAACCCCATTTCTCTCTCTCTCTCTCTCTTTTTGACATGTGAACCTCTCAGTATAGGAATATGAGCCTAAAGTTGTTTATATTTTGGTTTGATTTTCTCAATTATATATTAAATATTATAATAAATTGTATACATCTTGAGCATGGATTAATCCTTGAAACATCCCCATTTTTGTGTTAGTATACCTTTTTTAATGGTTAGTGCTAAATGATAAGGCTAGCTCAAGTTTTCGTCATAGGTCCCAAGATGTAAACAGGGCTAGCGCTAACCCTAACCCTGTACTTAGCCCCAATGCTTACCCTAACCCTAACCTAAATCTCAACAACAATCACTTGCCCTAACCTTATTTACATCTCAACGACCTTGACAAAAATTGAGCTGGCCTTAACAAATAGATTTAGCCCTTTTTTAATAGGCGCAGATTTTATTTACCTTTTGTTTATCAGCATTTCTGATAATTGACACACAGTACCGGTAAGTCAAGAATTCCTGGTAAATACATGTTTTTGTCTTCTTTGAAACATCCTGGTCATTTTTTTGTCCGCTTAATAGTAATTTGTATTTAGGAAATGTTATTTTGACAGGCTTCTACTTTTTTTGAGACACAATAAGATTACAGAGAAAGATATTTTTATTTTTTTGTAAACTGGTTCTATGTAATTGAATAAACATTTTGTCTTTCTTCACATTTCGAGAGAGAAGTTTGAGAACAAGAGTTGGATTTATCTGAGGGGAAGGAATAGATAATAGAATTGAGAAGACTTTAACACTATTTAAATGATATAATATGGTAACTGGAACATGGATTATGGTTGTATTTATTAAGTCTGTCTTCACATTTCGAGAGAGAAGTTTGAGAACAAGATTTCGATTTATTTGAGCGGAACGAATATGTAAAGACTTTAACACTATTTAAATGATATAAAATGGTAATTGGAACATGGATTATGGTCGTATTTATTTCAGAAGAGGGATAAATAATTGAATAAACCTTAAAATTATATAAATGACATATAATATGTTGATGGTATAACATGCATTATTATAGTTTGAGTATCCTGGAGGAGGAAGAAAAAAAAATGAACGTCAATCTTTTTATATTATTTTAAGGATATGATATGGTGAATATAACATGGATTATGGCCATGGGTGTATTTATTTCACTTTAATAGGAGGGAAAAATAATTGAATTTTAAACTTCCTACATCATTTAAAGTATATGATATGTTGATAATCTTCATTATCTGTGTGGAATTAGCAAGGTTGGATGGCCAAATGATTAGCATGTGCACGTTGTATTATAATATCTGTCACTGAGTCAACTGGTGTGGTTTCGATTCCCTGGTTGTACGTGACAAGGAGTAAAGTCGCCTGCCCAACCTTGTGGGTTTCCCCCCCGGGTCCTCAGGTTTCCTCCCATTGCACAAAGACCCCTATGCAGAAGCGAATTATTGAAATAAAATTGAACCATGTGTTAGTTCCGATTTGACCTAGTTTGTGTTGTGGACGTTAAACGCCATATCTCTCTCAGGAATTTGGTGTCTGATTTAATTCTGAAACTTTGATTGACAGAAAAATTATGATAGTGTGTCTTATTAAATCCTAAATAAATGAAATGAAATGGAATTTGATTTCCAACTGTTCTGCTCCGACTGGGCTAATGAAGACGGGCACTATGGCCTACTCTTACATCGAATTCCAACTGCCAAGGGATCTTTACTTGCATGCCAATGTATAAACAGGACCTCAGTTTTCTCAGCCAATGCAGGGATCAAAACACAACCTCCAGCCTAGTGAGTCATCATCTTACCACTTGGCCACCTCGGCTCTCTAAATCCTAAAGCTTTGATTTATACAAAGTTGCTGATAAGATAGAACTAACAGGATTTTGGGACATAATTAAAATAATTTATGGATTAAGTGCTAGAATTTCAGGTAAATTATTTATAGTAAATTTTAATTGTTTTGTTTCTGGATATGAATTATTATTAACTTATCTTGATGTACCAGTAAGCAAGTATTGGTAATGGAAAGTGTTATTGGGTGTTCTGGAAATAATAATTATACTCTGTCCTGAGCACAGCACCAGTAACCATAGTTCAATTACACCTTGCCCTGAGCACAGCAGTAACCATAGTTCAATAATACCCTGCCCTGAGCACAGCAACAGTAACCATAGTTCAATAATACCCTGCCCTGAGCACAACACCAGTGACCATAACTCAATTAAGGTTATTGGGTTCAATTGTGCATTATTCAGACTACATCCAGTTTAATCACGACTCAATCCCTGTTAATATGTAACTTAAATTGATTACACTACTTAATCCCTGTTAATATGTAACTTAAATTGATTACACTGCTTAATCCCTGTTAATATGTAACTTAAATTGATTACACTGCTTAATCCCTGTTAATATGTAACTTAAATTGATTACACTACTTAATCCCTGTTAATATGTAACTTAAATATCCCGACATTAAAGTAATTTGACTGAAATTTTCAATATATTCCTTTTTCATTATCTATTTTTAAACTGTAAATCTTATATAATGCATCTTTACTCAATCTAGGAATGAGACCAGTGCGCGTCCAATGAGTATCGTTAAACCTCTAAATGAGTACTATTCCCGTTTTGTGGTGTAATTGCGCCTGTCCAACCTCGTGGGTTTTCTCCTGGTCCTCCGGTTTCCTCCCACTGCAAGCAAATTATTGAAATAAAATGACACCATATGTTAGTCCCGAAATGACCTAGTTTGTGTCGAGTGGACGTTAAACCCCATCTCTCTCTCTCTCTTTTGTTGTGTAATTGGAGCTTTAGGTAAATTGGGATACTATACAATTAGGCTTGACATTTAGGAGAGAAGCTAAATGAAATGTTGCAAGGTACTGTTTATATTGGCCACCAGCAGAATCACAGTTAAGAAAATCTTCCAACATTGTCCGATAATTTTGCTACTTTAGCAAGAAATGAGTATTTATTATTTACTAATAGTTATTATGGGTTATTTATAATTGTGGGGAATTTTAGACCTGTTTCTAATGATGTTTATATTGTGGTTTAATGGACAGCACCATATGGTACCAATTATATCTTACAGAACTAATAAAAATACTTTAATTACCACAGCTTTTACTGTCCTGAAGATCTTTAGGGAGAGGTCAGACTAGAACAGTAGGATGTTAAACCCTATTTCATATCATTTTAATGAGAGGCAACATACTGACCACAAAGTATTTTTGATGTTTTTTGCGTAAATGAATTCTCATTACTTGTTGTCATTGATTTTTATGGAAATACTCAATTCAGAGAAACAAAAAGTGTTCATTTCATCATAGAATGTTTTTATTTGTACTGAACAAAAACCTAATACTTTTATATTTGTGCCAGATATGTATTGTAAGTGTGGTTTAATAGTCGAGTGCAAGACATTGCGTAATATATTGATACTGCACGAGTGCTATATTTAAATATTACACAATGTCTTGCATGAGACCATTATACGACTTAAAATACAGACACTATCCAGTACGTGCATTTACGGGTCCAATATTTCAACTAGTATAAATAATGTATGCTTGGCACATTGCCCGTACCATTATTTAAAATAAAGGTACGCCAACATCAAAGGATGACGTCACATCTGTATTTTAAGTATGATTAAAAACACTGATTAAAATAAAGAATCTGTGCTTGACGAATGGATCACAAACAGAGAGTGATTTCGCCTCACAAGTTCCGTCTTCATTAGGGGGTTGGGTGGCCGAATGGTTAACATGTGCACGTTGAATCATAAGGTCTATCATTATGGGGTTGGGTGGCCAAATGGTTAACGTGTGTACGTTGAATCATAAGGTCTATCATTAGGGGGTTGGGTGGCCAAATGGTTAACGTGTGCGTGTTGCATCATAAGGTCTGTCAATTCCCCGGTTGTACATTACAAGGAGTAGGGTCGCCTGTCCAACCTCATGGGGTTTTCTCTGGGTCCTCTGTGACTGTTTTCCTCCCACTGCTAAAGACCCATACGCACAAGCAAATTATTGAAATAAAATTGAACTATATGTTAGTCTCAAAATGACCTAGTTTGTGTCGAGTGAATCGTATTCTCAGTGCTTACACATATATCCTACATCATTAGGAATAACTCAAAATTACTTTCTACACACAACGAGTGGGTTATGCCAGTCTTCTACACAACGAGTGGGTTATATGCCAGTCTTCATTTCGATCCTGGTGTTAGTTGAGAAAGTTCCCCACAATTATCAAGTCTGGTTTCCTCTTAATGCCTGACAAAAAAAAAATGTTGAGGTTAAAGATCCTTTGGCAGGTGAAATTGAAATACAAGTAGGCCGTAGTGCTACTGTCTTACTCAAATTTCCCTCATACACAGAAATATGCTCTAATTTGTTTCAATATTTATTTTTCGAAATTTAAAAAAATTATTTATTGGATAATCCAGTTCTAAAATGATAAAGAATAGTCTGTAACACCACTTCATTTCATTTCACTTATTTTGAAATGAGTGTGTGTGTGTGTGTGGGGGGCTTTTAGGGGCTTTTAGAACCATTTTTGTCTATTTTTAGATTCCAGAGAATAGAGCCATATCCCCTTTAATATATAGGTGCCCCAGGCTGATCATAGAAACCTCTTACTGGTCGTATGTGACTATCAATATTACTCTACATGAAGAATTGCAGATGGTTAATTATCATGTGTTCCAGGATATATATTGTGACATGATAAAGAACTGGACAAGGTATACTTTAGATCATAGGGTCTGTTGGTCAGTTATCGTGTGTGTTTGAAGATCTGTAATGTTTTTAAATGTTGAAAATTTTGTAGTTGGTTGAATGTCCTGTGTACATCATAAAGGTCGGTTATTGTGTGTGTTTGAAGATATGTAATGTTGTTAGATGTTGAAAGATTTTGTAGTTGGTTGAATGTCCTGTGTACATCATAAAGGTCGGTTATCGTGTGTGTTTGAGGGTCTATAATGTTAAAGAGTTTTTTGTAGTCTGTTGGCTTTGGTCTGAGAGGACAGTTATTATGGTGGTCACAGATCTGTAACGTTTTAATATTTTTAAGAGTATGTAGCTTGAAATTTGGCACAATTATACCAATTAAATGATGTTTGCTGATTTTGAATTTTTGGGTATTGGTGTTGGTCTGTCAGGACAGTTATGGTGGTCACAGATCTGTGATGTTTTGATGTGTTAAAAAGTTTGCAGCTTGAAATTTGGCACAATTACCAATTAGATGATGTTTGCTGATTTTGAATGAATTTCCAAACAAAGTTCTCATATAATAATTAATGTGAAAAAATTAATGCTAGATACACAAGATTTAATGATGACTGGGTTACAGTGTAATGTCTTGCATGTTAGAAACCTCTACAGGTGGTTACAGTGTAATGTCTTGCATGTTAGAAACCTCTACAGGTGGTTACAGTGAATATCAATATGTTCTCTGCATGAAGATTATTATTATTATTCTATAACTACATGCAAATACAAGCAAATATCATTGAATACGGCCATTGAATACAGCCATTGAATAACCTATAGTTGTATTCAATGGCCATTGAATAACCTATAGTTGTATTCAATGGCTTGAAAACGTAATACTTTTGTCCATAATGACGTCACTTACAGAACTACGTCAAACTGTAATGACGTCACAACTAGGCAACCACAATTTTTGTAAAAAAAGAAAAGAAAAAAGGGCGGAACCTATGATGAATTTTAACGTTAGTGGTGATGATTTTTTATGATAATCTAGATAGTACAGTGTATTTTAAGATTTGCATGTAGTTATAGAATAAAAACAGAACTCAATGACCATTGAATACCGCTCGGGTTATTCAATGGTTCACTCGAGTGTATCCCTGCCGCATTCCACTCGCTGATGCGCAGGGATACACTCTCTTGAACCATTGAATAACCCGAGCGGTATTCAATGGTCATTGAGTTCTATCTATTTATTATGCTCATATTTATAGTGCGCCCTTTCATATAACATATTCAGGGGCACTTTACAAAGTGACAATATAATCATAAATAAACAACAAGATTATGGACATGTTAACGATTGTATACAGAGTCAGTTAAAAGCCTGATTAAATAAATGTGTTTTAAGTTGTTGTTTTAAAAGAATATAGAGATGTACAACATCTTAAACTAAATGGTAGATTATTCCACAGGAGTTATGCAGTCACATTTCTTAGTTAAAGTAACAAGTCTAGCTGCAGTATTCTGTACTTTTTGTAATTTATCTAAAATTGAATTAAAGTTATCTAATGGAGAAGTGACCAGAGAATTGACAAGCGACTTACTGGCCTCTTACAGATGATCAGTTTTCATGTGTGTTCGTGGGTCTGTAACCTCTACGGCTGGTTACAGTGACTAACAATATGTCCTCTGCATGAAGATGGTCAGTCTCCATGTGTGTTCATCGGTCTGTAACCTCTATGGGTGGCTACAATGACTATCAATTTTCTCTGCATGAAGATGGTCAGTTTTCATATGTGTGTTCGTGGGTCTGTAACGTTTTAAAATGTTAGTAAGATGTCCTGTACATCAACTAAATGTTATGATACAGTGTGTGGATGATACGATTCAATGATTTTGTATAAAAGAGAGTGGGGTACAGTGAACATGGAGATAATGTACGTAGATATTACTATAATATAGAATAATCCAACAAATGATGATGATCAACACGAAGAGATAATAGTTTTATATCATGTTTTCTGAAGGTGACACTAGCCTCGTTTGGTTATAAACATTTAGAGGCAGGCTTGAAGTTTGTTGTTTAAACATCAAGGTAAATAATTTCTCGTATTTTTACAAAAATATCCATGATTTAGTAGATAAATACTTCCTGTTTCCAATTGAGACTGATGTTATAATGTAGTATTTGTGTCCTGAAATCGTT